TCTCTGGTTTCTTCTCTTACACCTCGTTTTCCGACTCCTCCTCCTTATACTGAAATGGGGAAGAAATGATTACCTTCACCAGCAATCCAGACTGACTGTTTACAAAGAGATTTTGAACTTAAACCAAGGGCTACATGAAATTAGGGCAAAGGCTATATGTGACACAAGGGCTATTGGTAGCCCACTCCACTCTACCAAGCCTGGGTCTGCTTTCTCAGATGTGCTTAACCTGGTTGCCGAGCTAATCCATTTTGGGGGTTGCATAGTTCATGAATTGTGAACTATCAGAACAGACTGGGTCTTCAGAGCCTGCCTAATGGCACACACAAATTAACCAAGGATAAAACTAAACAAACTTGAGCATGTTATGTAAATGCAACCATTAGGTACTATGTGAACACAGCCCGGAAGTTTTTTTGTTTTGCTTTTCTGTATGAAGCAAGAAAACTATTAACTACTTCTGTACCACTTCAGTTGCTCCTTTATAGTTCTGACAATCTGTTCTCTTTCTGAGGTGAACAATCAATATATCATAGTTTTTGCAATGATATATTAAAGATTGAGCATATTTAGAATTGGCCTCCTTTACAATTATTCCAAATGGTAAGAAGACAATAGCAGGGAGAGCAGATTCTCACCTGTTTCCGAGGCATGTGCTTCGGTATGTATGTGTGCAGGTCATTCTGAAATAACCCTATTTTTATATGTGTGACTGATACTTAAATTAAGGGATGGAGAAATGGTCTTTATGTGACTTTTCATGTCTTCATTTATGAATCTGTCCCATATTCTCATCAACAAATTCAGAATTATTTTTTCATTATGTATAATATTTTGAAGCATTATTATATGCATTTGGGGGGGTGTACTTAGCTAAAAGGAGCATTACAAAATTTGGGGAAGTTCAAAAACCAAGGGATACAGCCTCCTAATCCCCCATATTTGTCTGACAACTATGAATGAGGTTAATCTGGTAAAAAATGTAGCTTAAAAATGACATCTCCAGGTACCCCTGTAAAAAATTACCTGTTCCCAACATGAATTCCACTTTTGTGTAAATTTTATGAAGCAGTTGCTGCCCTTTCCCATCCCTTCCCACATTAAAGTTGATTTCAACAATTATTCAAACTCATAGCAAACCACTTGATTTTCCTCTATTTCTCATTTGCAAGCCACCCCAATGTTGATTTCTAATCCTATTCAACTTTCTACTTGTACGGTATCTGTACAACAGCCTTCCTCAGTTTGATGTCTACCGAATGGGTTAGATTTCAGCTTCCCAGAAGACCAGAGAGAACAATGTTCCCATCTTTGTAACAGAGGATTTAGGAAACTACAAACCTATCCACTTGGTGTATGTACTGGGCAAAGGTCTCAAACTGGTTATTAAACAGTATGTTTGAGAGCACTTGGGTAGGAATGCCACTATTAACAGGATTTGGCGTGGATTGTAACAAATTGTGCCACACTAGACCTATCTCTTTTTTGATAGAGTTACTAATTTAGTAGATCAGGAGAATACTGTAGACCAGTGTTTCTCAACCTTGGCCACGTGAAGATGTGTGGCTGGGGAATTCTGGGAGTTGAAGCCTACACATCTTCACGTGGCCATGGTTGAGAAACACTGCCGTAGACATATGGTACCTGGGCCTCAGCAAGCTTTCAACAGAGTCTCTCATGACATTCTCCTTAATAAAATGATATGGCTGGATAATACTATTGTTAGATGAACTCACAGTTGGCTGAATGACCACATCCAAACGCTGCTCATTAATGGCTCCACTTCAGCCTGGAGAGAAGTATTGAGTCAAATGCCACAGGGTTATGCCTGGGTCCTGCGCTGTTCAGCACTGTTATCCATAATTTGGTTGAGGGAGTTGAGGGGACACTTATCAAGTTTGCAGATGACACAGTCCTGGGAGGGGTAGTTGATACTTTAAAGGAGAAAGAGAAGGTTGAAAAAGATCTAGATAGGCTTGAGCAGTGGGCTGAAATATGGAATTTAACTGAGAAATAAAGACATTTATCAAGTTTGCAGATGACACAATGCTGGGAGGGGAAGTTGATACTTTACAGGTAGTCCTCACTTAGCAACAATAATTGTGACCAGCAACTTCATCGCTAAGCACTGTGGTCACTAAATGGACAATCATGTGACCACAACAGACTTATGACATCACTTCCCATTCAGCCGTTACATGAGTCACTACAGTCATTAAGCAAAACATCATGTGACTGCGACTTGCGATTTTACTTCTGCATTCTCCATTAACTCTGCTCGTTGCAAGCTGGTGGGGAAGCATGCAAATGGTGATCATGTGACCATGGGATGCTGCAACAGTCATAAATACAAGGATTGGTCACAAGGCTGTTTTTTTTTTTACACCATCGTAACTTCGAACAGTCGCTAAACAAGACAGTCAGTGAGTGAGGACTAGCTATAAAGGAGAAAGAAGGTTCAAAAACAGCTAGACAAGCTGAAATAAATAGGATGGAATTTAACAGGGAGAAATGTAAAATACTACATCTGGACAGGAAAAATTAGGGCAAAGTATAGTTTGGAGGAGATCTGGCTTGGCAATAATACATATGAATAAGATCTAGATGTTCTTGTTGACCAGGAGTTAAATGTGAGCCAGCAATGTAATGTACCTGCCAAAAGGCAAATGCTATCTTGGGGTGCCTTAACAGGAACATAGAGTCCAGATAATGGGAAATAATCATTCCATTTATGTGCCGTGGTCAGACCCCATTTGGCATATTGTGCCCATTTCTGGGCATCACAATTCAGAAAAGGACAGTGGCAAATTAAGTTCAGTGGAGGGCTGCCAAGATGAGGAAGGGTTTGGAACCAAGCCCTCTGAGGAACAGCTTCAAGATTCTGTTTGGCTTACAAAAGAGACCGCTGAAGGAAGATGGGATAGCAGTCTTCAAATATTTGAAGGGTTGTCACATAAAAGCCAAAGTGGATTTATTCGTTATAGACCCAGAGGGCAGGACTAGAACCAACAGATGTCTGAAGGAACATCTTGACTATACTAGCTATCAGTCAGTGGAAGAAGCTCCCACATGATGTAGGGAATTTTCCCCTGGAGATCTTCAAAAAGAGAGGCTAAACGCTTATGTCAGAGATGTGCTAGTGGGGGCTGTGCTGGACTGAACTAGATGACCTCTAAAGTCTCTTCCAAAGTTACAATTCCATAAGTTGTAGCCATCATAGCCAGTGTTGAAGACGATATAATTTGGAGGGCACCAAGCCACCTTATCGTGAGATATTTATAAAAATATGTATCCCACCTATTCACTGGATTCTAGGTGGTGTGTGTGTGTGTGTGTGTGTGCGCACGTGCTCCCTCAAGTTAGTCTTGGCTCCTGGTGACTACACTGACAAGTCCATGCATTTTTCAATGTTTGCAGAAATGGTTTGCCATTGCTTTCTTCCCAGGGCTGAGAAAGAGAATGACTGATCCAAAGTCACCCAGTTGGCTTTGTGCCTAAGGCAGGACTAGAACTCATGATCTCCCAATTTCTAGCCTGGTGCCTTAATCACTACACCAAAATCTATAAAATCTAATAATAGGCCACGTCTCTACTCTTTGCTGTCCAGTGCTGATAATTTTCCATGAAAGATCCCATGAAAGACTTTCCTTGGGGAGGTGAGAGTACCCCAAAATGATGTGGTTGCTGTTGAGAAGGACATCTTAGGGACCCTGTCCCCTCGATTTCTCAAAAGGAGGGTACCTGTAGTGCCCCCTTTCGTCTAGATTGTCCTGAATGGATTCTACCTGGTGCAGATGGTCCTAAAGGTGATAAGGGTCCAAACCATATAAGTAATCACCAGCACTCTGAATTGGGCCCAGAAGCAGACTGGCAAGCAATGTGGTTCCCTCAATCTAGGTGTTATTCTGTTATACTGGTTGGTATCAGTCTGTTGGTGGACAGCTGCATTCTCCCAGCTGCAGCTTCTGAGTGATCTTCAAAGGTAGCCCTATGAAGAGAGAATTTCAGTAGTTTAAGTGTGAGAGGACACAGACAGGACTTGTTGTTTTCAGTACCAGGAAAAGTCCCAATTAGCAAAACAGACAAAACTGGCCAAAGGCCATCCTGGCCAAGGCCTATACTTGCTGTGGCAGGAGCCACAAGTTCTAGAATTCCTAAATTGCATATCTGCTCTTTGAAGAACAATTAATGGAGCATCCATGGATCCAGATGCCTTTTAATAACAGTAACTCTACTTTGCTGGGGTTAAGTTTAAATTTGTTCCACCTCATCCAATCCCTCACAGCCTCCAGGACTGGATCTGGAGGAGTTACCTCTGCATCTCAGGAGACCCTGCCTGTCCAGCTCAAAGTTAATGTGAACAATTTTGTCTGCAAATGTCTGGCAAACTGTCCACAATGGCCAGTGGGAGGACTTTCAAGGCCCACAGCCCCAAAAGTGGGTGAGTCACCTGAAATAATGCTGTTGCCTGGCACTACACAGTACAGGGAAATAGCAACATTTGGTTACTGATACAAGCAGGCTCAGACAAGATCTCATATCTGTGTTCAAGTCATCTTGATTGCTTGTCTTTCACTAGCATCACTCAAACTGTCTCCAAGTGTACTTCATTTCCCATTGCTCCTCATGGAA